CCAGGGAGTATCCTTGCAACAGAAAAAGAAGCAATAAGGTATATTTAAATATTATTTACTAACATAAATTACTAATTATTTAAACAGACCTAAATTTTCTCCAATTCCAGACAATATTAGAATTTTATAAAGAATTGTAGACAAATAGAGAATTATCTCTCAAGCTTTTAGAGATATTTAATTGAGAATGCTATCGTTATCTTAGGGATACCCAATACGAAAAATAATACAGATTATTAGAGTGTTGGACTTTAGTTTAGTTTTTTGAGGAATAACATTTTTAAATCGGATTGAAATTAGTAAAGCTATGGGCGGATTACTGTTAGTGTTGGTTTAACATTATTAATATGTCAAATATATGACCAAAAATTGCAAACTAAATTGAAACGTAGATTTTTAGAGAATTAAACCATTTGTTTTTACATGATTTATGTAAGATTTTACCGGTATTTCACTTTGGAATCGAAGTTCTGACCATTTTTTTTTAAATTTTAAGGGTATCACTCAGTCGATTGCTTTCCCCGTCTAGTAAAGTTTTTGGTATTGGAATGAAATAAAGACGTTTTCATATGCGCGACCTTGGTTAGTTAAAAGGGCCAAAGGGGGGAAGAGGGACATGTCGACCACAGCAGTTGACAAATTTGGAAAAACTGCAACAGCGACAGCAGCCAGATGCTGCTTCCTTGAGGCCAAAAATAATATCCAAAAAATACCAACATCGCGGGGGGCGGTTCGGGAGCTTCACAATTGAATATATGTGTACAATGTACATGTATATACATACATATATGCGAGTAATAATGTGCCAAATTGTTGACGATGCTGATGAAGATGCCACCGCTTACGTTGCTCTTTTATGTGTTCCCAGGGCCAAGGGAAATTGTAAAAACTAAGTGCCATATAAAAGGGGGGAAAATTGTGCAAAGTTAGCTGATGAAATAAAGTATAAACTGAGCGAGTCAGAAAATATATAATTTAATTTAATCCTTATTAAAAAACACACGCTTTTAAAGCCTTGTTCAAAATAATAGACTAACATACAATATATTCATTTTTTAAAGATCCGGTAAAAAGTGCGATTTGTTATACTTAATTTTATGGTGAATTCTAAGGGTATTCAATCTTCACTTTACTCTCGTTTTATTTTCGTATTGTTTATTTTTACAACAAAGTTTTTGTTCGCCACGCAATGTTTGTAAACATTTTCCCGCTTTTTTCCCCCTATTTATAGCGCTTTTTCCCCTCGTTCCCAGCTTATGTTCATTTATAATTTTTTTCATTGTTCTTCGCATATTGTAAATTCATTTAAGTTACGGTTGAAGAATTTCCACTTAATGCTAACCAATAATTTAAAAATACAAGATGGGCGAGTGTAAGTAAGTTAAGTGAATTAAAGAAAGCACTTTGATGGAACCTTTTTAACAACTGTTAAGATTTTATGATTGAGTACAGTTCACCGACTAGTATATGTAGGAAATTAATAGTAGTTTTGTTATCTTATGGTAATTGTTGTAATTAAAAAACAATTTAAGACATCTGGTATAACCTACTTTTATATGCCAGCACATGTTTATAAAACAAAGATGTTAAAGGCACTTTTAATGCGTTCCATAAAGCTTATGTACTTTAAGATGCCCTCAGGAAATCTGCTTTATTTAAGGCCTCTAATTTGCCTACATTTAATCTTTCGTAACACACTTTTTCATCGCATCTCATTACGCTTTAATGGTTCAGTTCCACTTGAGGTTAAGCTCCTCGTCTGACAGTTGTTATCTCGATTCCACCTGCGTTAAAAACGTTTTTATGCCATTTTTCTTGTTTAATAAAAAATGTGTCCTTTGGTTCCCGGGATTATGATTCGATGTTTTTCCAGCAAAAAAAAAAAACGGAAAATATTTATGAATGTGGTCGAATTACCCGCATCGCTGTGACACTTTTAATTAAGCCACGCCTGGCCAAAAAACTTTTCTTTTGCTCAAGAAAAGCTGGGCAAATCTGTTGTTCGTTTCCCTTGGCAGCTTATATAATTGCAAAAAATATGAACGGATGGATGGACGCCGTCTGAATAACTGTTGCAAGGCTGAGAGCTTTTTCGCTGACGCAAGAGGGAACGCAGGACCTATTGGCCACCCACCGCCTCACAATGCAACTGTTACTACACAGGAAAAACATATTTTTTGTACTTGAAGATTGATTAATATTTAAGGGGATTGAAGGTGGTGCTACTGGCGAAATCAATTTGAAGTACTTTATAAATGTTTTATACTTTTTAGTTTCATTACTTAGTGCTTTGCCAACGGTTACTGCAGATAGAATCATGTATTTGAGTGCATTAATTTTGTAGTTAAACCTATTTTTAAGATTTTGGGGCTCTCAAAGCGATAATAGCATTGGCTTTACTGATAAAGCAACACATGATTGTCGAATAAAGATTGCTTAAATCAGGATTTAGAATATCTTATGTGCCAGTTGCATTCCTTTTGTGGTGAAACCAATCATAATTCCTATTTGGGGAAATGTTGTTTCCGAAATGTTGTTTTCTGTGTTGCAGCTAGTTACTGCTCACCAGGTTGCCCTTTTTGCAGGTTCAGGCACTGCGGCTGACAGTTAAATGGAGTGTCACCGCCGTTTAATCAGCTGCAAACGCAAACATGATGTGGAAATGGGGGTGGTATATGGTAGGGGGTGGCATCAGGTTGAAGGGTGGGTTTCGAAAGGGGGCTGACAATCTCAGATTAGTGTCGCCATATTGCGTCGCAGTGGATCGGTTGTGGCCGTATATACGTCTAGGGTCCAGGACGGGGCTAGACCGCCCTTTTGTGACAGTCGCACGTCCGTAAGCCAGTTAAGACAGGTCTCGAGCCCATGGGGCAGCTCATTGCCTAGGTTGCCCTGTCAGGTGAGTTGTAACCAATCCGTCAGTGCACTCAGAGAAAAACCAAGCGACAGGGAAAAGTGAGTACCAAAAAGCAACATTAATTAGTTATTTACTAAATCGATTAAACCTAGTTACAAATAAGTTTGTAAATTATTTAGGCACCTGAAAAAATACCTCAACAAAATTAAATACTAATATTACTTAAATACAAAATTAGCCAAGAGTTTTTGCTGCATTATAATGATAGAATACAACATTTAAATTTTATAGTTAATAATTTTGTATAGTGCTAAATGCGAAATCAATTCTGATAAAATCAAAATTTTATAATTCAAACTATTTTAATTATAAATAAATTCAATACCTTGAATAACCCCCACAATTTCTCTCAGTGCTGCCCCAAATCGCCTGAGGTGAGTCTGCCTGTTGTCTAGTATCGGTTCAGGTTTAGATGCTTTCATTTTCATTGTGGCACGCTTAGGCAGAGTGATGAGATTTCTTAACTGCGATTTGCGTCTATTTTTGGAATGTCAGAACAAGGGATGCGATGTGGATGTGGCCCCGGGATAAATCCCATACAGATAGGCCCGAATAAGTTGTGACTGGGGAATACCAGTCAGCTGAATGGCGGTGAAATGGGAAACCAAAGGCTCCATTGCATCGCCTACAGTCTGGAGAGAATAATATTGCAAGAATTATTCGTTGAGAAATTTCAGGAGACTGGCCGTCTCTATTTATTAATAAGTACCAATTATTAAGTGCTTCCTTAATTGAAATTTCCTGCGGCTTATAAAGTTGTTTAGATTGTTTTGCAAACGTTGTGGGCACGAAATTTGGTAATCGCCCTAAACTGTTTCATCGAGTTTTTTATGGTTTCAGTTGAGAAACAATTATGTAGGGCTGTTTCAATAAATGAAAATCACTGGATTTTTATATTTTTTTATTTTTTAAAATGTTTCTAGAAAACTTTAGTAACAATTTTTTCTTGACGGAGACTTTTCACTTAAGTATTTCATGCTTTTTCTGATAGCACTCAACTTTTGCCAAGGTTTTTATATATATGTTGTTACTTTTCCTTTGCCAATAGAATCCCAGCCGTTTGGTCAATCAAAAGTCAGCTTATAATTTGGACGTGGGATAATTGAAATTGCCTTGAAGGCTGGACAAAGTTGTCGGGCTCTGATTTCTCGTTTCCTTTCATTTTGCTGGGATTAGTTTAGTTGGCCACATTTCTTTCGTGCTGCACTTTTTCTTGGCTGCATCTGGTAAGAAAGGGAAACGGCCGAGGCAACAGTTTTCCGAGAATTCTATGATAATAATAAAGTTTTCCTTTCCTTCCTGCTGCTGTCCATTTCGCACATTAACGCAACCGCTGCACAGTGGTCATATTTATGATAAGTTTACAAATGTTTTTTGGTATATATTGAAAAAAAACTTAATGAGAGCACCGGAAAGTCATGGATTTTATATACAACATTAAAAAATTAAAAAAAAGCATATAATTAAACAAAACATTTTTTTGCTGCATACAAAATTTCAATGTTTAATTCTTAATCTTTCTAACAAACGCATTAGCGCCTGTCAGCTTCTGAGTGCTAAATTAGTCATTTTAAAACACTGTGCGCTGGGCGAAAAGGGGACGGGAGGGTGGTGAGGGGGCGGGACAAGTACGCCCGAGAGATGGAGCGTTTCGTATTTTAATTTCGTTAAGTACCGCTATGGCTCGCGCCGCAAGTGGAATGCAATGGGAGCAGTTCCATAAATTACGCATACGCCGCGTGCGCCAGCAGTTTGGGCTTTTTCGGACATATCGGGGGAATTGCAAGTGCACGGCCGAAAAATTAGTAATAGACCACTTTTGCCGCCCATTATTATCATTTTTTATTTTTTATTTTCTGTGATATTTGTCAAGAAACTTTATTATTTTTAAGCTCTTTGTCGGTCTTTAGTTTTTGTGATTTACTGTAATGGTTTTCTTTCACCAAGTATTTATACATTTAAAATAATGAAATAATTTGTTACTTTTGTGAAGGTTTAAAGGTTTAACACGTAATGTCCTAAGTTCAATATGATGCTTTTTTCGCAGTGTGGATAAGTTCATTAGGGGCTGTAATGGACTCACCTCTGGTGAACAAGACGAGGTGCAGGAGGCACTCCAGGACGACGCCGTGGGATTTGTACCTGTACCGGGGCTTGTTGCTCGCTGCCATTTGAGCTTCGATTTACATGTTCGCCGGATCGCCGGCTTTCTGTTCCTTTCACCTCGTTTTTTTTTTTAACGGCCCGCTCAAAAAACACTAACAAGATGGGCCAAGCACATCGAACAATAACAAAAAGAACTGCTAGTTCTGTTGAATTATTCAGCCCTTTGCCGCTGCACTTGTCCCATGAATATTTCAAGTGCGCCCTGCAATTAGTCACACACACTGGTACAGTTACATCTACGATTGCAATTATTACGATAATCACACACAAGCACACCTTAAAAAAACGTTCTACTCGCACACTTGGAAAAAAAAATTCTAAAATAATTGATGCAATTGAATGGTGACAAAATGCGCGCCAAAAATGTTTTCGCGTTTTGGGGAGGCAGTTACATAGGGGCGGGGCAGTCGCACGTGCGCTTCGTCGAGCGCCAGAAACCAACTGAATTTATATTGTTGGCCAAGTGCTGATTGGATTGGCCCGTAGAAGATAACAGCACTGTTAAAGTGTTGCCAGCAGCATATGTAAAAAACAGGACGGAGCTCTAGTGGCTGCTTTCCATTTTCCAAATAAACACAAAAATTGGACAAAAACATTTTTTTAAGAAAATGTATTTTTAACGAATAGTTTATGTACGTTATTTTAAGTGGATTTAACCACAATGCTTACAGGCAAAAACTCTAATTATTTTACGGATACTTATAAAATAATTTGATGTATTTTCGTAACTTTCATATCTCATCCTTGTTTTATTGGTAATGCAAAGATCATTTCCTAATATAAATAAATATCTGGCAAGGACCGCTAACAATGACCAGATCTATCCGTAAAATGGTCAAATTGGCAGCACTAGTCTGGCAAACTTTTATAACAGAAAAACAGCTGTTTTGAATGTCTCTGTAATTTGCCTGTTAGCAAAGGCCACCAGTTAATACTTATTAACGTAAGTAAACTAAAAAATTACATAAATTAAATATTTACCATGTATATATATAGCATTTTAAGAATGTTATTAGACTGAATTGTGAATTTGTTATGAAATTATTGTTATGGATATTTTTACATATTAGTTGTGCATGTTTTGTTTGAACAAAACGTCTTTTTCTAATTTAGTACAATTTAAGACGGTCTGGCAGCATCATTTTTAGAGCCATGTTATTCAGCTGTTAACTGCTCTGTAAATGTCAACATTCCAATAAGCTGTTATCATCCTGGTTTGGCGCGCTGTAAGGTTAACGAAATTCAAAATTTCTGTTACACTTACACTTACACTTAGTTACACTTTGTTGAAAGAATAACCACAAAAATTCAACAATTATAATAAAATTTTCCAATGTCTTAGACTTTAGTTATCAGCTAATTTCCAAAGAACAAATTAAAATGAAACTCTTTAAAAATCCTGTCCAAAACATATAAAAGTCTAAAAATAGAATCAAAGGCATACCTGTATTAATATGAAAATGTGAAGAATAAATCGAAATACAGGCCGGTTTCCAAAAATAGGTTCTTGTTGCTGGGCGGGCATAGCGTCTTTTGAATAATGCTGACGTAGAATTATACCTCAGATAACCAGTTTTAAACAGTTTACAGTGGAATTTGGTTGATATATACTTAAAACGCTCAGCGGAAAATTATTGCAAGCTCTAATCAATTATTTTTTAAATTTTTTTTACAAAGTCACGCACGTGAATATTAAATGTTTATCAGCAAAACAAATTCTTATCGTTTTTTTAATACAAAATGTATAAATATATTATAGACTGAGAGTACATTATTTACTACAAATCATTATATTACAAAGTAAACATTTTATTTGGTGTTTTTATTATCGTTATTTCCCAAAAATTACCTTGAGATTTTTGTCGCTAAATACTGTCGGTCAAAAGGTCATTTGCCTTCTAGGTAACGCCCTGTCTGATTAAAAATTATAGATTTGGTGTTTCTGAGACCGAAACTGTTATCTGATATACACCGTGTTTTCTTTTTGTTCATGTTAAAGCTGTTTGCGGTAGACATTCTGACGTTTTTATTGTAACTGTTTTATCAGCTGTCTGCCAATACATTTACATAGAATCGAATGATCGAGTACAAAAATATTTCTAAGCTCGTAATGTTCTTTTTGTATTGTGAATTTTTTTTTTATTTGGGCTATGGCTGAGACGACCGAGCCTAATTGATTTTGAATAGCAACTTCAGGTTGATTGATTGGCTCTGGAGGGGAGTACAACAAAAAAAAGGTGGGGAAAGCCCCGGTGAAAGGGAGTAGTTGGCAGGAAACCAGCAATTTGCCTACGGCAGACTCATAAATCAGTTTTAATTTAAATTATCTACCCTGGTGGCTGGTGGCTGACCATAAATTACTTATCGTTTCACTTGGCTTGGCCAAGTTTTTGTACGATTTTAAGGTGGTCTGAGGGCTTTTTTTTTAAATTGCTTGTGTTGTGTCTTTTAATATTAACCCATAAATATTTGAACTTGCAATCACAATTTAAATATTTGCTGTCATTATCGTGATTACAATGTTTGTGGTCATAAAAATTACCACAACTCATAGCTCGGATTTCGTTTAATTAAAGTAGAGCGATTCGATCCGATCCGATCCGAACCGAATACGAGTACGACAACGAGCGTTATTATTTTTATTCATTTCGAGCCGATTGGGCTGCGTGGCAGGGGCGTGCATCGCCCTATGGATAAGTCCAGGGGTCCAAAAACCGAAACAGAAACAGAGCGCCGGGTATTAACATTCCGTTCGATATCGCATAATTTATGCACCTCTTCCGCAGCAAAAGTGGCAAAAGCGGCAAAAGAGACAGGTAGACAGGTAGGTGGACAGGTGGATGGAGAGAGCTGATAAGCTTCTGGCCCTCTCTCTCAATGTTTTCGTATGCTTTTTGCTTTTGGCTTTTGGCCAACTGCAGCCGCAATATTCGCACCGATTCAGATGCCGATGTCCGATGTTCTTCGTAAACTAAAGAGAACAAAAAACAGAAATTTCATTAACCAAACAGTTGTGTTTACCTTATAAACATACCCTTACTCAAAAAAGAGTACTCAGTATTTTTAAAACACTTTGCGATTTCTGTTCTAATATTAATATATAACTTATATTTTATAAGGGAATACAAATCACTCTTATTTAAAAGTATTTCAATTCATACAAGAATTTATTAACTTTAGTACATAGCTTATTAAATAACATGTTTAATGTCAATCATTGCGCTTTAAATTTTGTATCATTTTTAAAATGTTAAAATGTTTAAAATGATAATTTTAGATTGAAATTTTTTGCTAATTTAAACTCCCTTTAAATTTGATATTTATTTCTCTTGAAAATTTGTAACATTTTTAAAATTTTAATTTTTGATTAAAACTTTGAGTCTCTATAAACTCTAAATTTAGCAAAATGTATTAGCCAGCCCCAGAAGTATGAACAAAAATATATAGTTAATATCAAAAGTCCCCCGATACCGCTAACGCATAAAACGTGATTGGCAATTATCGTGAGATTAGTAGAGTCATAAATAAGCGGATTATATTGTATACGCTTTGGCAGTGTTCTGGTCTTTTTATTATATTCTTTTTATTAAGGGGATGCCAAATCAGGGTATTTGAAAGGCCAATCGATGATTAGTTCAGCTCTTCATTTCTGTTTTTATACATGGCATTTACCAAGACCCCCGTTTACCTTGCGTCCCGTGTGCCAATGTCAAGTTCGTTGCCAATGTCGTTCGATTCGGAGAGAAATCGCGAGCGTAGTGGCTGATAATGGGGGTTTAGGGGGTTCGTGGATTTCGGGGGGTTCGGGGGATCGGTGGGGTGTGGAGGGGTCAGCGAGGGTGTCGCCGGATCGATTAGACAGCTAATTGCGTTCAAAACGCCGCTCACAACGGGACAGCGCAAACGGTGGCGTATACGTAATCGCCGAAATCGCCTAATCGCCGCGTATTCGTATTAATGCAAACAATAATTTTTAATTTGCAAATTATGGGTCGCAAAAAGCAGGGCAAGAGCATAGCATCAATTTCAGTCGCCCGTCGAACGCCGAACTAAACGGACGTGTTTTTCATTTTGTTCTTCTCTGCCTCTGCATCGAAAGAAAAGGAATGGATTTTTGCGAATTTGGCATAAACAGTAGCAGTAACAGTTATAGCACGGGTACGAGAAACACAAAACTCTCGGCCGGCCGAAACTGATAAGTGCAACTTGTGAAATTGATATTGGAGCATGAGCCCTTGATTGAAATGCGCGGAAGTTTCCACTTGTCGAACAGTCGGAGCTATCAGAGCCGCAGCCCAACGCAAACCTACAGGTGCCCCAACAGCAGTATTAGTCGACGACGTCGCCACTATAGCTAATTGTGAGCCATTAATTGATTGGCAGCGCACAGCGCACCACCGGATTCACCGGCTCCACCGACTCACCAGACACGCCCCCTTTTTAAGGCGGCATCCTTTAGCCCCCCCGAAAACCGAAATAAAATAGAAATCCAATAAAAAAAAACACAAATCGAGATGAAGGTCCAGCAGGAGGAGCAGCTGGTGCCGCCGGCCTACATGCCCACCGTAATTAGTAAGGACACATCCAAGGATTCACACGCCAAGAAGGAGAAGCCGCTGGGCGAAGGGCGTGTGGCCGTCCTGCGGCAAGAGCTCATGGTCTTCCTGGGCAACAGCGGTGTGCTCGGCTCCGGCATGGTGGTCAGCATGCCCGCCGTCACTCTCACACAGCTCCACGACGAAACTCAGCCCTTTTGGCTCAACAAGGACGAGTCCAGCTGGTTTGGTAAGCATACCCCAAACACCACACAAATGGATCATCAACGCATGAGAACAGAAAGGAAGTTTAAGTGAAAACCGTCATTATCAATTGAAAATATAAAATCTATTAACTCCTCTTCAAAAAAATTTACAAATTTTTTAGGACCAAAACAAAAATCAAAAATATTTGATTAATCAGCAAAGACAACTCCTAAATACATTATAAATTATACTATTGACAATTTTTTTAACAGTTGGAAACAAAGTATATTATTTTTTCTCAATTTAATATACAGAACAAAATGTAAAAATTCGTGTTTAAGTTGCAAATTTGGGCTTATCTTTAAAGAGATTTATTTAACATCACATCAATTATGTTTTTTAGAGTAAAAAGATTAATCATTGAATTAAAAATATTTGTTTGCCTTTAGGTAATATTTACTGGCTTGTCCATGGATGTTATTATAATATTAAAACAGTTATCTGAAGTGCCTAAAAACAATAGAGTTCTATAATCCTGCATGTATCTTTTTAGCATCCATTCAGAACATGGCCTGTCCTTTGGGAGGACTGCTGGTCAGCTACTTCCTGGATCGCATTGGCCGCAAATACACCATCCTGCTGACGAATTTAATAGGACTGATTGGTTGGATATTGCTGGTGACCAGTTTTATGCACTCCGATCGCGACATGATCTATTACCAAATGCTGGTAGGTCGTTGTTTTGGTGGAATAATGATCGGCATGTTCGTATCGCCAGTGGGTGTGTATTCCGCGGAGATAAGTTTGCCCAGGATACGGGGTCGCCTGATCCTGGGCACATCGCTGGGCTTGGCCAGTGGAATCCTACTGATGTACGTCCTGGGATACTTCATACGCCACAATATCCAGCTGATCTTTGCGATTAGTTGCTGTTACCAATTGGCGGCCACCCTGCTCGTCTTTCCCATGCCGGAGTCCCCCAGCTGGCTGATGACCAGGGGAAAAGAGGAGAGGGCCAGGAAATCGCTCAGATACTTCCGCGGTCTGCCCAAAAAAGGTGAGTTTTTAGTAATTATTACTACTTAACCGACATGAGTATGGAAAACCATCAAGTTTATTTTTAAGGAAAAGAAAAGTTTAGTTTAATATGTCATAAGTCGTATGTCCACAATAATATGCTATTCAAGGAGATTATTGACTATGACTTAAACATAAAACAGGCACTTTATTATAAACAATAATTAAGTTAATTAAAAAAATCCATAAGGTGATAAATTGATTTCCATCAAAAAAATTCATTCAAAGAAAACTGTGATTACTCAGATTAGATAAACAAAATCAACGACAAATGTAATCAAGCAATCAGGGCTGAAATTTTAAGCCATTAAAGTGACTAAAATTAAGTGTTAAAAAAATCCGACAATCCATTTGTGAATTAGGAACTAGAGAGCTAATGTCAACATTGACCTTTGCCGTATGCCAACTAAAAAATTAGTAGTTTTTCATGTGAAATGTTTTAATGAGTCTTTTAAGTTCAGGCAAAAAATTGCAAGGTAATGAATAAAGTTATTTCCGTTATCTTAATTGAGTAGAACTTAATTATTCAATTTCATTATGGCCTTTTCTCTCTTAGATATTTCAGTTTGTGAATATTTTGTTAGCTTATTATGATGATTTACGTTTTACAAAGTTTTAACTACACTTTTCTTTTTCTTAAATATTTGTAAATACGTATTTTTTATATAAAATTTTTTTGTATTCATTTAAATTGACTAAATGTATGATTAAATGGTTAAAACAAAAATTTCTATTCCTTTAATTTTGTACAACATTTTTTTTAATATTTAACAACACTTTTTCGTTCCTTCAACATTTTGTTGTACTTTTTTCTATACTTTACTAAACTGTACAAATTAATTACTGTACAAATTTAAATTACTCTTAGATGCTTCAAAAAAATTTGAATTTTGTCAACGAATAGAATTAATCATTTCAATGTATTTCTTGTTATCTTTGAATAGGGTTTCAGGTTGAAGCATCTTGTAACCAAAATACACTGAAATTCAATTTTACTTTGCGGCTCCTTTCAGAGGTGGACTACGTACCCGAATTCGAGACGGAACTGGCGCACATGAAGGAGTTGGCGGAAGCGAGCAATACCACCGCCGCGGGCGAATCACTGAGCCAGATGATCCATCGTCCGGAGGTCTACAAGCCGGTGCTGATGATGACCACCTTCTTTGGGTTCCAGCAGGCCTGCGGTGTGGTGGTGATCATCGTCTACGCCGTGCAGATCGCCCAGCAGGCGGGCGTTACCATTGATCCCGTCCTGGTGGCCGTGATGCTGGGCGTGGCCCGGATCATCACGACGCTTTTCATGAGCGGCATCTTCGAGAAGTGGGGTCGCAAGCCGGCTGGGATTTTCTCGGCCACCGGAATGGGTTGCTGCATGCTGCTTTTGGCCGGCGGTAACTGGTTTCCAGACACATTGGGCACCTGGCATTGGCTGCCGGTGGCCTGCATTGTGGCCCACATCGTGTTCTCCACCATGGGCATGCTAACACTGCCCTTCTTCATGATCTCCGAGGTTTTCCCGCAGCGGGCAAGGGGGAGTGCCTCCGGCATAGCCATATTCTTCGGCATGATCCTGGCCTTCATCATGCTGAAGATCTACCCGAACATGGAGGCAGTCCTGGGCACGGCCAATCTGTTCGCCTTCTATGCGGGCATCTCATTTCTGGCGGCCGCCTTCATCGGCACCTTCGTCCCGGAGACGAGGGGCAGGACGCTCGAGGAGCTGGAGGAGCGATGGCAGACCGGCAAGTTCACGCGCCGACTCACAGTCAACAATCTGAAGGACGTGGAGCTGCACGAGGTTTTCCTGAAGAAATAACAACAAATCACTATTCGAACGATAAAAAAAAAAGGACAAACCTGGGGGTTATAGTATAGTTTCACCCACACATTCGAACGCATTCACATTCAAAGAGGAACATTTGATGGGTAAATATTTAATATAAGCAATGCTAGTTTGTTGGTAAAATCACTTTCATTCAAAATTTCCAAATTTTTTTAGAAGCTTACTTTTTATTTTGCATAAAACCGTTGTTTAATTATATATTTATATATAATTTAAATGTGAATGTCGGTGAATTTGCTTGTGGAACTCGCATTTCCATTAGAAAAAGGGGTCGGGGTATTCAATCTGTGATGTATTAGGTACTTAGCCTTGACAGCCATGGAATGCGGCAGTTTGATAAACAATAAAACCAATTACCAAGTAAACAAAAGTCAATTGAAAAGGGCATGTTGCAGCTACGATCGGTGAAAATGATGCAGGACATATTGATCGGGCAACAATGAAATTTCACACATTTATACATAATTTTTTGTTGTTTTTTTTTTTATTTTTATACTTTTACACCTTGTATTATTGTTAATAAAAACACTATAAAAAACTGCTATTTGCAACATACAACATAACAACACAAGCCAAGAACTTTTAAATCTTTTCTGGGTTATTGCAATCTTTTGTTTGCATTCGCTTAAACCTCGAATGATCAGATTATTATTACGACTGCCTTGATTTGATTTCTTAAAAAAGTTAATCAGCAGATTTGTTTGCAATTGAATTGTCTGTAATAGATAACAGATTTGAAATGCAGCAAAATTATGAGGATTAAGTATAGTAAAGTAATGTGGCAAAAAAATAAAACATAAAATTTGTGTTTAACAAAAAGTAACACGAATCATCATAACCATTTGCTAAAGATTTATTCTCAAGTGGATCTAAGTACTCACTACTCACTAAGCAATTGGCACGTGGCAATTTCCAAGTCGGACCCACTCTCTCAGGGGAATTATAATTATGCAATCCAGAGCCCAACCCTCAAGAGAGTCAACCTTCAAGTTGTCCATGCGGGAATCCAAATCACTGAATGACTGGCCCACAAGTCAGCAAATGTTAATGCCTATCGACACTTGATATTGATAGTGATAGTGATCCATGTATATAGACCGATCGCCAATGGGAGAGCGTTTCTAACACGATGATGGATCACGGATCACTGATCACGAAGTGGGGATCACGAGGCGAAGGATCGAGAGTCGAGTGTATGGTGTTTAGTGAATAGTGCGTGGGTCACATCGCCGGAATTGCGTGATCTGACGCAATTCCGAACATTAATTGGTGGCGCTGCGAAAACGTGTAGCGGCTATCAGCACCTAACGATCCGGGAAAATATTTCCCAGCCCAAGGGGACTGACGAGCGCTTTGTTTACCACTCGAAATGATAACAAAATATATACTATATATTCCCGAAACACTTGTAATTTGTCCAGAATTGGAATTATTGGACCAGCGTTGGGCGTAATTTTTGCTTTGTTTTCTTTGTTATTTTATTTTGTGCTTCCCCACTCGAGATAAAAATATTTGCTATGATATAATTACCCAGGTAAGACATCCTCGTGCAAAGTGCAAATGAAAAAGAGTGACTTCTTACGGCAAAACCTTTTAAGTGATTTGTTGTTGAACAAACACTAATGATAAAGTTCTATGCATTCAATTGCCTGTGACCGATAACGAGTTATGTATTTGTCATTTATTTGTAAATTAGGTCCTACCATTATTTGCTCATGTAAAAAGACCTGTGCTTAAGTGGCAAATAATAATAAAATTAATAATAATAATAATAATAATAATAATAATAATAATAATAATAATAATAATAATAATAATAATAATAATAATAATAATAATAATAATAATAATAATAATAATAATAATAATAATAATAATAATAATAATAATAATAATAATAATAATAATAATAATAATAATAATAATAATAATAATAATAATAAATATATCAGAAATGTAAATCAAAGGTTTTTGTGTTTTTTCTTTTTTTTTTTGCACCTGCTGTATTTTCAAGTGGCAACCTTGGATTTTTTCAAAACGTAGATAGTGTCTAGTATAACTAAAATTTGATTTGCAATATGAGATCCCACAATTTCAATTTACGCGAAAAAAAGTGCTATTGTGGGCTCGTAATTTTAGAGGAAATACTTTTTTTCACAGATATTAAATTCAAATTTTTCAACAACAGTTTTGAAAAATGCTACGAAACTAGTTTGGCTCAGAATTGTTCATATTTTTAATGCTGTTGTTTTTTTACTGCGGCTTTAACGTTGGCAAACTATTAAGTTTCTAATACCCTTGACCCATTTTGTAACCTTTAAAGCAGACAAAGAACGGTATTGCTTAGACGGATAAGTCGACTCTGTATAAATGTATTTAAAGATCTAAGAGAATTTAACGATCGCTGTTATCAAACCACAAAGTGCTGTTAAGTTGCAGCAGTGCTGTTAACCGTCCTGTTTACATATGCCATCTCTAAGAAAAACAGCCGTGAGTTTTGCGATCTGTTTGAATTTTAAATGTTCTTTCGTTTATTTGTTCTTTTTGTAATGTGACATTCTTAAGTACAACAATTAGCTGCTAGTTTAATATATGTATGTATATATGTGTTTTTGTATAAACGAGTTAAAATTCAAGTTGTTCTCATTGGTTTTTCCATTTTCTTGTGTAGTTTTACGGGCTACGAACATTTTACGAGTCTGTCTGCTGTCTGTTTGTGTGTGTGTGTCTCGTTTATTATGTATATTACGGTACGTTATTACTTTTAAATATTTAGTTATTTCAAAAAAATTTCCGCTTGGGGACTTAATAGTTATAATATATATATATATATATGTTTTGTATACTGTATAGTTAATATAATTGGTTTTGTCGAATATATTCCCATTGTTTGTTGCTTGCTGTTTAAACTGTTGTTTGGTTCCACTAAACTTGTTCTATGTATGAATGTATATTGCTTTTAGGTATGAATTTATTTGTAGGCATTTTGTAGTATTCTTAATTGTCGATTCTATTCTTTTTCTAATTCTGTTTTTACTTATTTCTCTCGTTTCAGTTGGTGTTCGGTTTTTAAAAAATCTTTCATAGGGCAGTTCACGTTTCAAATACAATCATCGCCATCCGATCGAGTGTTAACCTCACTATGCAAAAAAAAAATTTACCTCACCTCTATGGGCGGTTGTATCTCCTCCTTTTAATCTATGTATACATATATAGATATATGCTTTTATTCCTTGAATTGTATATATTTTTTAAGTGTTTTTATTTTAGATGAAAGATGCGCGCTACAAAGGGGCACTACATTTGGGGATAGACAAAAGGGAATAGAGCAGATAGATGGTCGAAATTGAAACCACGAAATAATACCAAAAAGTTTCATAGGAATAGCGCCTCTAAATCTGTCTAGCTTTGATCTCTCCTTCAACCGAAGCAGAAAAAGAATAAATCTATATCTGAATCTGAACCTATATCTGGGTCTTTCTTATCTCCGCTTAGTTGATGTTTTTTTTCAAGTCGTTTGTATGTTTTTTTTTTGTGTTTTTCTTGTATATGTTTATATAAAAAACGCTTCATCTTATGCTAGAAAAAAAATTGTATGCATATTTGTGGTACTTTGGTTTTTCTTTATAAAAAGATTTCTACCTTCTTAACACATTTACTTCAATATAAAAAAATGTATAATGTATTTTACTGTTACTTAACACTTTTCGTGCTTTAAGTTTTTATTGAACAACATTTTAAATGTATTTGCGATTAGGTTTTCTGTGAGGTTACCATGTTCTACAACGTTAGTTATTAAAAATACCAAAAAAAAAACTCTATTCAGTTGCTGCGTCTCCATTTCAATCTCGGTATTACAACAAAATTAGCTTGGCTGCTTATGAGTAAAGAAAAAAAAATTGTCTAAAGGATTACGAGAAAAAATCTTCTAAAAAAAACAAGTACGATTATGATTTGCCTTTTGTCACATGCTCAAAAAATAGCCACAAAAAATATTCCATTGCTTCGATATCCAAAAAAAATAAATTAATATTTATTTTTATTTTGCCTTGGCTTAATCTAAATACACGAGACGGTCAACCACATGCTAAGGTGCTATATGTATGATTTCTCTTCCGATTAATCCGATATTCGTTATGTATATCCGCTTACTCACTAAGGCTACATTGGTTGAGACTATTTCCATTCGTTTAAGTGAGTTTGTCGCCGCCAGCCCAATTGGAGGGGCTTTAGAATTAATGTCGCTTAGATATTGATTTAATAATCGCTTTCGATTTCGTGTATAATTATTCGGTCGCTAATGCGCACTCCACATGTAATTCGGTTTTTTTTTTTTTGGTTTTTGAATCGTTATATTAAGTATTCAGCACAACCAAGCTGTAAGTGTTTACTGTGTCTTCTCAACTTGTCTCTCAAGTTTCGCTTAGAGCTAATTTTTATTTAATATTCTTAATTCGATGACTAAATACGCCCCACAAACTCTGGAAAACGTAATTTTAATAAACAGTGTTATCAAAGTCATAATCGTAGATATAAATAAAAAGAAAACTCAGGGGTAATGTTGTTTGTGTCGAAAATGTTTATTTAGTTGCCTTAAATAATGGGTTTCTTATTTTCTTGTAAGTTTTTTTAAGCCAGAGACATGGTAATAAAATAATAAAATAAAATTGAAATTCAGAAATGTGTTTTTTTTTTAACAAATTAAAATGTTTTACAATGTTCTTTGTTTATAAGTGTTTAATAAAAGTATTGATAGAATTTAGCAAAATAGTTCTTCGCATATTTTAAATTTATAATTGTTTTCTTGTTCCATTAATTTTTGTGCACCTACACCGAAAAAATAAATGTTGTCTGCAGGAGGAAGTGACTGGCCGATTCAGAATATCAAAATTCGTGTTAAATGAATATATAAAAATAAAAACGTAAAATAGAATACAATGTTAAAATGTTACGAATGAGAATTTTGTTTTAAAATATGGAAAATATAGATAACCAAGACAAGTCACTCCTATGATTTTACGTGCTTCCTTTCTTTTCTTTCGATTTCCTTTCTATTTTTTTCTTTTACTTTTCTATTCTGTTTCCTCTGATTTTCGTTTTGTCGGGCTGTTTATCACGTTTCTTTCTTACTCGTTTTTGTATGTTTGTTTTGTTTCGTCTTCCTTGCTGCTACATGCTCAAGTTCTTTCGTAAAATAAACTAATAAAAAAAATGGATTTCAAAAAAAAGTATTAATATTTATTTAAAAAAAAACGCATTATTCATTACAGCTATGAAAAAAATTGGGTTTGTATTGTAATTTTGTCTGGGTCTCTTTCTCCTTTTCTTACTCAAGCATATTTCTAGCTAAGTGTTTCGTATTCTTTTTAAATGTATCAATAAACAGCCAGAAAACTTGAGCATGTCCAGCCATTTCGTTACGTATAATATAGACAAAAAAATTGGATTTTATAAATAATGAAAAAAAATAATATATATTCATATTTGTATCTGTTTTAACTTCAGCTATAAACATACACGATGCCCGTGTACGTTGTTGCGGCATAGTTCGCGCCAAAAAAATCAGTTTTAGACACAGAAAAAAAAAACAATCAGAGCTTATGTCTTCACGCCTACAAGTATGCTATATAGTTATAGATATATAATGTGTGAGTTTTTGTATAATATATTTTGTTGTTTATATTTCTTTATGATTATACGTTATAAATATGTGACAAAAAAATGTGTTTCTCATAGGTTTTTTTCTCTAAGTTTAAGCAAAAAAAAATCGCCTCCTATATGTATATATATATAATTATTTATGATTTGTATACATATAC